AGGTATGTTCTATCAGAGGTGGTATTCAGCAGGTTCTGACCAGTTCTGGAGAACCGGTAGTGGAAATTTTGAGTAGTTCGGAGAACCGGCAAATACCACCTCTGACTGGAGATTTTAAAGTATCCTTCCCTTGCCATGCCCACCAAGCCACGCCCACAGTTGTAAAAAAAATTGAATCCCACCAGTGGTTTTATTCTGCTTCCAGCCACTAGCTGGGCTCCTTATTTTTTTGTATCTAAGAACTTCTTAGGTCCGTTCCAATCCTACTTCTTCCTCCACGTTTGAATAATAAATATAAAGTTGTTCCTCTAGAAAAGACACAAATAAGAACAAGAATTTTTTTTGAACACTTCAGACAGATTCAGGATATGAAGAAGTCATGTGCTTATATGATTATTAAGCTCTGAGGAAACCTCTCCATAGCACCTGAGGACAGGACAAGAAGCAATGGGTGGAAGATCCAACCTGGAAATAAGGAGGAATTTCATGACAATCAGAAGGCTTAAACAGTGGAAAAAATGCCTCCCAGAGTTGTGGGTGCTCCATCACTGGAAATTTTTAAGAAGAAATTGGACAACCATTTGTTCAGGATGGTGTAAGGATTCCTGCCTTGGGTGGAAGGGATTGTACTAGAGCAGGGCTGTCAAACTCCTGGCCCGTGGGCCAGATACGTCACGTACTGGCCACGCCCGTACCTGGTTTAGCGAAGGAGGGAAAGTCCCAATATGTCATGTGATGCAACCATGACGACATGAGTTTGACGCACCTGTGCTAGGGGACCTCCAAAGTCCATTCCAGCCCTATGATTTTATGCATTCCATTAATTTCATTTCATTTGATGGAAAAAGGGCAATGCCATGTTTTATTTCCTCTATGGACAATGTTCATATTCCAGGTGAACATCTCTCTTTCATATTTTACCTTGGCCAGTTTTTTTCACACTGTTGTTGCAAAAAGGTCCTTGTTGACAAGTGGCTCCTAGGGAAGGTAGGAAAAAAAACAAAACACGATTTCTTCCTGTTCCCAAAGTAGCTATTACGGTGTCAAGTGCCTTTTCATCCCCCGAATCTGACCTGTGCTTCTTACTGTGCCCTGCTTGTGAGTGGTGATAAAAAGAGATCCTGAAGATAGCAGGAAACACAGATTGCCTTTCTCACACCAGATGCAGCCAAGTAACAAGGATCTGAACTGTGTTTGCTTCTGAAATAGCACCCTGTCATTCACTGCAATATTTTTTTTAATTAAACATTGCCACGATGCCCCTCACTGGTCAAAGTGTATTGGAAAATTTATTCTGCTGTATACGGGTAGTCCCAACTTGTTTCACAATGCCATGAGGTTAATTGTTTAGGTAATGTATCTTTCTTACAACATACTGTATTTTTTTTTTCTGCCTAGCCGTGAGGTATTTCAGTATTTACTGAAATGAACATAGTGTAGTTATCCAAACTTTGGAGATAAGGGGATACTCAGTAAAAAAAATGGAATCTGGGAAATAACAGGGATTGGGGGGGGAAGGAAATTATTGTAATGGGGTGACACTGAGAATCTATTTATTTTATTTATTTTATTTATTTGATTTGTCAATTGTTTACAAGATAATAAGTATAAGTGTATACATAGTTATGAATACATGAAATGGGTACATATAAGAAAAATAAAAGAAACAATAGGACAGGGACGGTAGGCACGTTGGTGCGCTTATGCACGCCCCCTAGAGACCTCTTAGGAAAGGGGTGAGGTCAATAGTAGACAGTCTAATCATCTTGGATTGTTCATAGACTTGGGAAAAATATGTTAAATAGCTCAATACTGTCGTCATTGAGGCAAAGATAAAGCAGGTCTGTCAAACTCCTGGCCCACAGGCCAGATGCATCATGCGCTGGCCACATCCATGGCCAGTTTAGCGAAGGGGGGGGGGGAGTCCTGATACATCATGTGACACCGCCATGGCGACATGAGTTTGACACCTCTGAGATAAGGGTTTCCCCTCTCCAATCATGTCCAACTCTAGGTGGACATGAGGTGCTCAGAGGTGGCATTCAGCAGGTTCTGACCAGTTCTGGAGAACCGGTAGTGGAAATTTTGAGTAGTTCAGAGAACTAACACACACCACCTCTGACTGGAGATTTTACAGTATCCTTCCCAAGCCACACCCACCAAGCCACGCCCACAGAACCGGTAGTAAAAAAATTTGAATCCCACCACTGGTGCTCATTAGCTGCTTTTTAGCTGAGGGAGCCAGCGTTATCCGAATACGTTTCCATGATCATGTGGCCACCATGACTATATATCAAGGTATACAGAACATTGTTACCTTTCCATTGAAGTGGCACCTATTTATATACTGCATTTTGTGCTTTCAAACTGCTAGGTGAGCAGGAGCTGGGACAAGTCATGGGACCTCACCCTGTTGTGTTGTGCTCAGGTCTCGAACCCGGGCTGTCAGCTTTCAGGATGACAATAGTAATAGCATGTAGACTTATATACCACTTCACAGTGCTTTACAGTCCTCCCTAAGTGGTTTGGGGAATCAGGATATTGCCCCCTACAATCTGCCCCCCCTCATTTTACTGACCTCGGAAGGATGAGTCAAACTTGAGCCAGTGAGAATCGAACTGCTGAACTGCTGGCAATCAGCAGAAGTATCCTGCAATACTGCATTCTAACCATTGCGCCCCCAGGGTCCAACAAGCTCAACATCTTTAACCACTGCGCCATCTCTCTCTCTCTCACACACACACAGAGTCACACACTTGATAATTTTAATTTCATGGAAGGAACTTTATGCAACCAGCCTACTTTTCAATGAGCAAATGGCAGGGACAACTGAAGGAAAGACTTCAACCCTGTTGCTTGGGGACCACTGGCTTCTTTTCCATGGCTACAGGGCTATTTCACTATCTGATAGAGTTTTAGGATATTTTCACAAGCAGTGTACAATCCTGATTCCTCTTTCCATGAACAGAAGGAGTCTTGTTGGCATAGGCTGTGAAAAGAGTAAATAGCCAATGTAAGTCTTAAGTAAGATAAGAAGTAAAATACGAGCATGGAGGAAGCAAAACATTAATTAATTCATTGGTGTCTGCAGGGGGAATGAGGCTGAAAACAAGGAAAAGTGTCATCGTAAAAAAGACCACAACTTCTATCAGCCACCAGCATTTATTTTATGGCATTGCATGTTGTCCTTTTAGCATCGTTGTGGTTTGCTGCATATGCCACTGAGTTAGCTGCCTAAAATAGATACCTGCTTAGTTATAATACAATTATACTAATGGTTACACCTTGTAGTGCTATTGTACTTTTGGATTATACTTGTATTTTTTAAAACTTAAATTGTACTGACCTTGGAACATAATGAAAAAGGATTAAAGAAGAAACTCTTTCTGGAAATCATAGACCCATGAATGAAAGCTAGTTAAACACAGCTCATAACAGAAAATAAATATTGCCCATTTTCAATCTCATAGATGGATGTAATAGAACGGATAGCATGATATTTCTCTGATTATAGGAAAAAATATGAGCAGTAGTTTTCCTAGCAACATTCATAAGTAAGGGGCTAGCCATTGTCTTCCTCTAGGATGCGTTCTGACTGCATAGTCTAGTTTAGTTTTGGGATTTCCTGATACTCTTCATTCTGAGCACTAATCATGTCTGAACTTGGCTTAAATTAGCTTTTTCAAAAATCAGCCACGTCAACTAGGGATGCCCATTTGTCCCCATAAAACTGAGACTGAGCACTGGGAGAAACAGCACATGATTTCATTACTATGGAATATGACATTCTTCAAAAGCAAATTTAAAATAATATCAATTTGCATCCAATGCATAGAAATGAGTATTTGCGACCAGAGCTCATTTCTACTGCAAAATTGATTGAATTTCTGCATGAAATGTGGAGAATGGTCTAAAAAGACAAAATAATAAAGGCTCTGAAACCTTTAGAAACATGTTTATTTTCTTCAAATGTTCAGAATTTGACAGGATTCTCAGAATTTGTTCTCCCATTCTATTTGAATCTGCATGTAGAGGATATTCTCTGCTATTGAACAGTGGTGTGACAAAGGATCATAGTTAACTGACAGTAAAGACGTTTACCTCTGTAATCTGTAATAAGACTCATATAAAAGGTTACTTCCCTCCCTCTACCCACCCACACCAAATTCACAATGTACAGTAGATGTTCCATTATTCCGCAAACAAATACCCAGATTGGAATGTCACATGCATAGTTGGTTAGAATAGCATAGCATAGCATAGCATAGCATAGCATAGCATAGCATAGCATTGCATAGCATAGAATTGCATAGCATAGCATAGAATTGCATAGTATAGCATAGCATAGCATAGCATAAGCATTGCATAGCATAGCATAGCATAGCATAGCATAGCATAGCAAAGCATAGCATAAGCATTGCATAGCACAGCATAACATAGAATTGCATAGCATTGCATTGCATTGCATAGCATAGCATAGCATAGCATAG